CGGATCAGCTCCAGACTGTCGGGATTCTTCTTCTGAGGCATCAGGCTGCTGCCAGTGCTGGATGGGAGATGTGTGGGATGTAACAGTGAGCAAAACCCTCATCCATACACATACATCATCACTGACCCAACCCCTCCAAAAGCAATATGTAGGACCCCCTTCCTCATACTCCTGTTTAGGCTGCATGAAATTAGTGAACTGACTAAGTTGCTTTTTGATTTTGCACCTTGTCTGGAGCTGCACACAGCCCCACTGCTCCAAAAAGAAAGAAAAAGGAAGTTCCTCCTCCAAGCTCCTCCAGGATAGAACCAGCAGGGCAGTCTAAGTGATTTCATGGAGGGAGGGCTGTGGTTGTGCCACCCAGGAGACAAGGAGTCTGTTGGGATTGCAAACCCAGCCAGCTCAGGAAGGGCTTTGGCTGCATTCCCAGCAGGGCAGGAAGCTCTCTCTGCCAGCAGCTCCAGAATGCAAACTTGGTTAAGTTACCAGGGTGACAAATAAGTTACCACTACTGAGGAACATTCACTCTGAGGGTGCTTTGTGCCAAGGTTTTGATGCTGGGGCAGCCTTGTGCACAGAGAGACCTCAACCACTGCYTCACATCCCTCAGGCTGGGAGAGCTGAGGGAAGGTCTCTCTGGCCAGGGTTGAGTCCTACCTGTAGGCATCAGAGAGGGTCAGGAAGCCAAACTCGCTGGTGCTGTAGATKATGAGATCCTCAGCCATYTTGCTGAGGTGGATCATCAGCAGGGTSGCAGCAGAGAGGAATTCCACTGCGGGGAAGGCGGGAAATCAGGAGGGGGAAAARGWGYTTGGAAAACTCAGAGAGCCCTGACTGCAGCTTTAGTTCCTAACAATGGATTTCAGTTYCCTTATTAAAGCAGGATAACTGGAAAGGTGTCAGGAGCTGCTTCCCACAGCGCTGGCAAGACCTGGYTGTGCTCACCCACAAAGTCCCTCTCGCTGACGGCATCCATGCTGTTCAGGCTGATGGAAGCGAAGTCCAGCTCTGCAAGGAAGGGGATGGACACAGGAGCTCAGACTGACCCTGGCAGGAGCCTGCAAGCACCAGGCTGCCCCAGGGGAGATGACGCTTTCTRTTTATTCATGACCCTCCACACCCTCCTTAAAGTGCTGTAACACATGCAAAATAACATCAGAAAAATGTGCTGATGCTTCCCAAAGTCCCAGCATTATGTGTAGTCCTGTTCCTCCATCCCAGGGAGACATTTACCACTGCACAGAAGTTCTCTATCGATTCCCAGGGGGTTTCCAGCCAGAGCTCCACTGCCAGGGGAGAAAGAACCAGAAGTCATACATGATTTCATGCACATTCCAACCAAAACTGAGCTCGAGAGTGATGACACCTGTCTGAAGATTTCCCTCCCCCAGTTCACTTTGGTGTCACAGTGTGGTCAGAGGCTCATCAAACTCCAGAATAAACCAGAATTTCTCTTCCAAAGAGGAAGGTTTGCTTGATGGAAGCCTTGTAAATCCTTGATTTTCAARGATTAGAACAATGTATTTATGGTGAGAGTCTTTGGGCTGCAGTGTCTATGGAATAGAAACCCCAGTGTTTCAGGGGATGGACCGATCTGCCTCTTCGTCTTATTTCAGAGCAAAGTGAGGGCTGGGGATCCCAGAAAAAAATAAACTTTACCTTCCCAAAGGCAAGACATTGATCCTCCTCTTCACCTCTCCCAGGCGCTCAGAATCCCGGGTCAGAGCAACAGCATGGCTGGGGAAGGACAGGAGAGGTGAAATAGGGAGAGGAAACTGRAAAATGTTCCACTCCAGAAGGTAAAAACGGCCAAAGAATGGAGAACAGGGAGTTACCCCATCCATTCTTGGATTCCCCGCTCGTCAGAGCCGCACAGGAGCACAGGGAGTTCCTGTTCCTGTTTGCAGGGTTCCCTCTGGTTTGTCACCACCCCTGGCTGTCCCCTCAGTACAGCAGGGTGGAGAGGGTGAAAGGTGCTCACCTGAGCAAAAAGTGGCTCCATCGGATGGGCTGAGCTTTCTGCAGGTGGGTGTAGCCAGGCAGGATCACATCAATTTCTCTGGGAGGGAAAGGAGGGAGAGGTGAGCGGCAGCAGGGACAGGAGGGAGGGCAGGGCCAGGTGTGCAACTCCCTGCACAGGAGACCCTGCTGCTGCCCACTCACACAGCAAGCTGAGAAATCTCCTGCCCCAAAAATGCCAAAGCCATGGAAAATGGAGTATGGAAAAGGRCTCACACAGCAGCGCGTTCCACCAGGGTCTCAACGAGCCGCAGGAGGTGCGTGGAGATGACAGAGAGAGAATTCTTCATGAACAGCTTCAGGTCAGTCACAACCTGGGGGAGATTTGGCCACAGACACACCAAGCACAAWGGCACAGGTTTAGTAACCAAATATTGCTCAGCAGAAACCTCTGGCAGCGTTATCCTCTCCTTGTTGCGTGTGATGGGAAGGGAAATTTTCCTATTCTGCCATTATCCCCGTCACTAATTTGTGAAAGCTGCTGTTGCCGTTGCTCTCTGTGTACAGAACTAAAATTTGTTCTTGTCAGGAATTGCCAAGTTTGAATCAGAAAATCCCCAGCCAACACAAGCTGATCATCATTAGAAGGACTGATCCTGAAAGATGTGTGGCTCCCAGCCAGCAGAGTTGGGGTTTCTGGAGGTTTTCAGTGGAATTTTGCGACCTTTTAGCCCCAAGAAGCAATCCTGCAGATGCCATTGCCCTGGGTGGATGAGTCACTGCAGCATCATTAGTTTAAGGCTATCATTAGTTTAAAGGAAATACAAGTTGCAATGTGTCAGGGCGTGAGGAAGGTGGCATAAAAACATCAAATAAGGAACTGAAGGAATGCAGAAGGAGAAAAAAAGATTCTGTCCATACCTGATCATTCCTGCTTCTGCCAGTGTGCAACTTCCCAGCTACRTCTCCAATCAGCTCCTGAGGACAAGAACAGGATTTTGGTCAGGAAATCAGTAGGATTTCTGCATGAGCAGATCTCCTCCCTGCCTGGCAGGGACTGAGCTCCAGGATGCTGTGAGGAGCCATGGGGTTTGTTCTGGGAGAGGGCAGATTTGGGTTTTTGCTTGTACAGTGCCACAAAAGGAGTGTGGAGACCCTTGGCTGTGCCCCAGGTGTTCAGTGCCAGGAGAGCTAAAGGAATTTCACTGAGGGACAGAGGGACAAGCCCTTTCATATCAGGCAGAGGAATAGGAACAAGAGGTGGAAGCYCCAAACCTTCAGTCTGCGCTCGTTGGCAGTGTGGATGTCCTCATCCGTTTGTTTCAGCACAAAGACTCCTTGGGACCATTCCTCAGAGATCTRCAAACACCAGCCAGCCACAATGGTTATTAAAATCAGGGAGGCTCCTCTCAGGTCATGTACCTGACAATTTAAAAAGGAAAGAAATACCTTCCCCAGGCCTCCCAGGATCTTCTCCAGCTCCRTTTTAGACAGGATCCCAGCCTTCTCCAAGGCTTTGGCATAAGCCATRCTGCCCTGGATATCCACCTCAGACAGTCTCTGGTCATAGCTAATGGAAGCGTTGAGCATCTCCATGATGGGATCTGTGCTTCCACTGAATCTTCCACCCCAAAGTTTATTCCCCTGAGAGAGAAAACAGTGAATTAAAGAAGCCTAATAACTTCAGGTAAGTTCCTATTCAGTACATAACATCTAGTGATCCATTTATGTGATACAGAGGCCTTGCTCAGCTCTTTTTTGAGTGTGATAACACTGACCAAAGCAGTTCTTACACTTCAGGACCTCTGGCAAGTGGTTGAAAAGATAAAAAACACATCACTGTCACTATCGTTTACCCCTGAGTGCTGAGGTTTGGCCTCCAAGATATTTTACCTCTGCAGGACTCTGCTGAGAGTCCTTGAAATTAATATYAGGGAAAGATGCAAGACMAGCACRGATTTCTCTWGTGAGGCCTTTTAAARKGAGGAAGAAGTAAAGCAGTCAGTAGGATTAGACTGAAATTAGTATCCATGAAATCCTTTTTGTGCTGTTTAACAGATTTTTCTTTGATTGACAGAGCTGTGGTCCAGCACAGAAACAAAAGTGGGGTTTTCCCATCCAAAGCAGGATTCCTGTGGGGACCTCACCACCTAGAATGTGTCACCCACTGCAATGGGTGACCAAAGAGCTGTGCAGGGTTCCAGCTGTGCACCACAGCAGGGTGTGTGTTGTGTGTGAGCTTCTCCAGCAATGATTCAGAGCCTGGATGGCCTCACCTGAGCCGTGTCACCTGTGCAGAAGCTTTTTGCTTGCCCAAAGTTTTAAATCTGCCAAATTTACATGGAAAACCAATATTTCCAAAGCAGCTGTCCAGTGCTGCCAGGCAGTAAAAGGAATTGGAGGACGCCTGAAGGAAGGGACTAAATCTAATGCATTGCAGAGTGGATAACAATTACTAATCTATTTTTTAAACACTTTAAAAGTTTCTTCTCACATTGGTCACTATAACTACCACGGACAGCAAGGAGCTGGCAGGACAGTTGGAAGCTGATCTATGCCAGGGCTTTACCAASCAGACAAAACCCTGTTGAGTAACCTGAAAAATGTTTTCCCTGGTGACTGTCTCCATGTCCCTGTGCATGAAAGGACAACAGGAGAGAGCCTGCAGAGGTGAGGGTGCAGCCTTGTGTAAAGGGCAGCTTTGTTAGAAAGCTGAGGGATGGCAGGGAGGGGAATCAGCATTGAAAAAGAAATGTTAGGACTCCTCAGCACTCATTTGGTGCCCCCAGGAACTAAATTAATGCTAAATTAAAGGCCATTCCAGAGGCTCAGCACTTGACTGGGGAACAGGAATATCAAGGTATAACTTCGGTATTTAAAGTTTTTCCATCAAAGTGAGAAGTGTGTCAGCAGAAACATTGCAAATTATACATTTACAGTCGGGAAATCAAAGGTGAAAGATTTTAGGCAGCTCCAGGACTCTGTCTGGAGCAGTGGCTGTGCAGCCTGGCACTGACGGGCACTGCCAGGAAGCTGGAGCAGCGATCTGGAAAGCAGAAAGTGAGACTCGCCAGGATGCCTGGTCACGTCTCGGCGGGGAAGGAAACTGAAAATGCAGCTTTTGTGCCGAGCGGTGTTTACACAAGCTGCTGGGAAGTGCCTGTGCCCGAGCACGAGTCGCAGGCGCGGGGATCGGCCTTTGCTTGCGAGAGAGAGCCAAGAGGAGGCTCCGGGGCAGCTTCGCTCTGCTGAGCACCCCCGGACCCCCCCGGCCCCGGGGAAGCAAAGTTCGCCCTCACCTCGGCTGCTGCCATCGCGGCCGGTGGCGGGTCCTGTGCGCAGGGAGGAGAGCCCGCAGAGGGGCCACCTGCGAGGCGGCTCTGATCCCGGTCCTGATCCCAATCCCGGTCACAGTCCCGGTCCCGAACCCAATCCTGGTCACAGTCCCGGTCCTGATCCCAATCCTGGTCACAGTCCCAGCGCCAATCCCGGTCCCGATCACAGCTCCGGTCCCGATCGCAGATCCACTCCCGATCTCAGCTTCGGTTCCGGCCCGATCCCAGCTCTGGTTACGATCCCGATCCCAGCTCTGGTTACGATCCCGATCCCAGCTCTGGTTACGATCCCGATCCCAGCTCTGGTTACGATCCCGATCCCGGCTCCAGTGCCGATTCCAGCTGCAATACTAGTTCCGTATCCAGCCCTGGTTCCGATCCCAGCCGTGGTCCCGATCCCAGTCCCGGTCCCGATCCCAGCTGCGGTCCGGATCCCAAATGCGGTCCGGAACCCAGCTCCGGTTCCGATCCCAGTCCCGGTTCCGATCCCAATTCCAACCCCGATCCCACCCCCGTTCCCGGCGCAGCCCCGGCCGCGCTCCCGCCGCTCCCGCAGCTCGTCCCGCCCGCCGGGGCGGGGAGTGCCCGGGCCGGCCCCGCTCCCCGGTCCTGCCCTGCATGGCTTGTCCCTGTGCTTTACAGGACACCTAGGCACGGAATCCTCGTTTTCTTGTCCCCTTTCGGGGTTTTCTGCCCTTTGACCAGCCTCGCTGTCATAATTCGAGTGGGAAGGAATGTAATCCAGGTCCTTGGGATTGCATGGGTGTGCATGGGGATGGTGCTGTCTGGAGCAGCAGGACACTGCCAGTGCCATCCAGCTGCCTCTGGCTGTCCCGTGAAGTTCTTTTGCATCTGGATTTGCAGTGTTGTGCCTTCAGTGTCTATCCAGAACAAAGCTCAGTCTCTGTATATAACCAGCAGTTAATTCACTGCTTCTCAAACATTTCCATTCATGATGGTTTCTTTTTCCAGCTTTCAGGTTTGAGGATGCASAGAGCATCATGCTGTCTACCCTGAGAAAATCTCTTTAAACCATTTTGTTGCCAGATCCTTTCTCATCTGAAGTCCCTCATTTTTAATGCTTCTTTTGTCACGTTCATCTTTTATGGATGTCCATGCTCCAGGCTTTGACAGGAGGTTGCTGAGGATCTGGAAGGATGGTAAGCACTGGATTTACATCCAGAAYGACCCAGCTGATAATCACCCTACATGAATTCCTGGCTCAAGAGCCTTCCTGTGGCCAGCAAATGGATGCGCTGAGTTTTTTTTGTTTGCCTGTTTCTCCTTAGGGCAATCCCTGGAATGAGCAGGGATTTGAGACCAAAACTCAAATCCCAAATGAGTCGTAGGAGGGTGATGGTGAAAGTCTGAAGGCACCATGGACCACCCACTCCTGTAATGTCTGTATGGCCCCTCCAATCTAAATTATTTCACAATTCAAAGAAAAGAATGGATGGGTGGGAAGTACCAGTGACTGTAAATTCATATTTAAGTAAGAAACTAAAATGTGGTAATCTGCTGACTTCTCTTCTCCTTTCAGTTTGGCAAGGCCATGTGTCACCCAGCACTGGCCATGAGGGACAATGCCAGACATTTGCTGCTGGGAGCAAGGGAMAATCTGTTCAGCTGAGGCTCTGAAGAAAAGGAACCAGAAGATACAAATAGGAAAAATAAGGGGAGTGATTCAGACCAAGAAAGTTTATAGGAGGAAAAAGATCCCAGAGGTGGAGATGAGGAAATCTCTGTTCTCCTGACTCTGCAGGTGTTGAGTATTGGTGTTACCTGTGGCTTTCTTGTTCCTTCAGCCTGGCACCTGAGTGAACAAAAACTATTTCCTGGCCACAGGCTRGAGAGCAAACCATGAGCCAAAGCAGAACCACAGCAGGAAGGAAGGGAGCAAACACAAAGGAGGTTTGTGGGAAGGTAATTGAAATGTTCTGTTTAAATGCCAGGAGAATGGATTTGTTTTAGGGCCAGAATAAGGAGAGACTGAGAGTGGTGAGAAGTGTTGGGAAAAGGGAAGTTTGCTGGTGCTGAGCCTTCCTCCACGTGTTTGCAGCATTTGTGCTTTCAAGATTCAAGCACTTTGTGTCTCCTGGGCTGCTTGGGCTGCAGATTTTCCTCATGGCTGTTTGTCCTGTCCTTGCTGCAGCACTAAACCTGGTGAGGCAACACCTGCATTATTTCCACTCCCTGCGTGTGTTCCAGACCTGCAGCTCTGAGTCAACAACGCTGCTGCTGCCTCAGCATGGGGAGAAGGGGCTGAGCAAAACACCAGCTTTGCAAGGCTAGGGTGGAAAAGGAATTCTGCTGAGTAAAAAGGGACAGGCCCAGCCTGCCAGCCTCCCCTCCCAGAGACACAACCCCAGCTGCAAGGGAGGAAGAGCCCACAATCCRCCCAACCTGGGCTGAGCTCAGCCCAACCCTGAAGAATCAAGACACAAGACAGGAGTTTCAGTGAACTACAGACACCCCAGTGTTTATTAACTCCAGATCAGTGGCACAGGCACAACGCTGCTGGCACGGCATCTCTCCCCACACTCTAAGCCTGTTCCTTGAGCCTCTTGAGCAGCTCCCGCAGCTGCTCGATCTGGGCGGTCACGCTGCTCTTGGCGGTGCCGCCCGCGGCCGTGTACTGCTCCACGCTGGTCACCACGCTGAACACCTGCGCCACGTCGCTGCCAAACAGGGGGCTGGGGGGACAGGGGGCTGTCAGGGGGATCTGGGCTGCTCTACGTGCCCAGGGGCTGGGGAGAGGCTGGGGGAGTGAGAACCTTTCCCTTTCCCTTTCCCTTTCCCTTTCCCTTTCCCTTTCCCTTTCCCTTTCCCTTTCCCTTTCCCCCTTTCTCCTTCCCTTTCCCTTTTCCGGAGAGGAAAGGCTCCTGTGCTTCTCCTCCAAGGAATTTCAGAGCCAAACCCCTCAGGGGGCTTCATGAGTCTCTCCCACCCCTCCCCACAGCTCCTGCCCGTGCCCTGCTGCGGTGGAATGGAGGTGATGTTGTTCCCCTTCAGGTTTTTCAGCCCCCAGCCTTGATATTGAGAAGGATTTTTTGGGGCCCTGCCTGACCAAGGCACTTTTGGGAAGGCTGAGCAGGGAGGCTGATCCTGCCTGTGCAGGGAAGTGAAACAAAAGAGATCCAAACCTGATGCTCTTCAGGTCTTCCAGGGTGAGATTGTTGAGGGTGATGCCTTTGGTCTCGGCGAGGTGGACGGCCTTGCCAGCRGCGATGTGGGCTTGYCTGAAGGGCATCTGCAGGGGCAAGCACAGGTGGCAGTCAGTGGCCAGGCAGCTGGGCTGCTTTCCATCAGAWAAATGGATGTGCTGTGGTATTTTTGTTTGCCTGGGCAGTGCAAGCTGAATCTGGGGGTGCTGGAGTGGCAGAGGGAAGGATTTAGGAATTAATTATGATCAAATAATTTGGGTGTGAATCAYTATAGGGTCCCCCAGGCAGCACTGCTTGAAATACATATAAAGGATGTGTTTTCAGCTTTCATGTTTGTCGACAGCTCTTCACCCTGGGACAGAACAGAGGGGCCCCATCCCTGCTCATCCCTGAGCAGTTCTCTGCATCCAAAGAAATCCCAGCTCCAGGTCTCCCTCTGGTACTTACTCCTTTATGAACCAGGTAGAGAGCCAGGTCAGATGACAGGATCTCGGGGCTCAGTGCCTTCTCCATGCTCTCCTTGTTGATCTGCAGGAAGGAGGTCAGAGGGACACATTACCATCAGCTCCTCCTTGGGAGCACTTCAGCTCTAAGAGGGGYCAAAATGAGCRCTGTGGGTGAGGAACTGAAGAGTTTTCACCTTAGCACCAGCCTGGAGCTCTGCTYCCTGTGTTACTCACAGAATGTGCTCCCTGTTCACAGTGAGAGGCTGCATCCTTACCTGGAGGGTGGAAATCACTCCAGTGGCAACCTGRAGCACRGCATTCAGGGTGTCCACRACATCAAAGACAGCCTCCTTGTCCTCCTGTATTGGAACAGCCATGGAAATGGATGTAAATCAACCTGGTGCAGCCCAGGCAGCAGAGCAGGGATGGRATCCCWGAGGCTCCTGCCGTGGAATTCAGGGGATTCGCCTGCAGCACCCCCTGCCTCAGCCCCTTGCCCAGCACTCAGCAGGGAAATGGAGTGCTGGGACAGCTCAGGAGTGGGGGATGGCTGTGTCTGCTCACAGAGGTGGTGTGGGGAGGAAGGAGTGCTTTACCTGCAGGTCCTTGTTGTAGGTGCTCGGGAGTCCTTTGAGGACCATGAGAATTGCAGCCAACTGCAGARGGGAACAGYGAGTGATTGACAGAGTGAGKGAGGCACAGAGCAAAGCACAGCCCCAGGGCAGGCTCAGAGCACACAGCTCTTTGGGAAAGAAAAGGCAAGGAAAAGGAAAATTCTCCAGCCCCAATAGGAGCAGTTTTCCCTCCCTGTTCCTCCTTTGTGGGGCTCACCCGTCCAAACACTCGCCCGGCTTTGCTGCGGATCAGCTCCAGACTGTCAGGATTCTTCTTCTGAGGCATCAGGCTGCTGCCAGAGCTGCAGGGAAGGTGTGTGGGGTGCAATGGTGAGCAAAACTCTCTGGCTGAAATCACTGATCCAACCCTCCAAAAGAAACCTCTAAGTCCCCTTTCCTGTACTCCTGTTTAGGCTGYATGAAATCAGTGAACTGKCTGAGTTGCTCTTTGGATTTACAATTTGTTGGAGCTGCCACACAGCYCCACCTCTTGAAGAGGAAGCAAAAAGGAGGCTCCCCTTCCAAACCCCTCCAGGGTACTACCAGCAAGGCAGTCTAAATGATCTCCAAAAGAGAAGGCTGTGGTTGTGCCACCCAGGAAACAAGGAGTCTGTTGGGATTGCAAACCCAGCCAGTCAAGGAAGGGCTTTGGCAGCATTCCCAGCAGGGCAGGAAGTCCTCTCTGCCAGTAGCTCCTGGACAGGAGCTCCTGGGGTGAACACAGATTTGGTTGAGTKATGGGAATCAGAAATGAGTGACCATTGCTGAGGAACATTCACCCTGAGGGTGACAGGCTTTTGGTGCTGGGGCAGTCTCGAGCACAGAGAGACTCCAATCACTGCYTCACATCCCTCAGGCTGGGAGAGCTGAGGAGAATCACTCACCAGAGACCAGAAACCTACCAGTAAGTATCAGAGAGGGTCAGGAAGCCAAACTCGCTGGTGCTGTAGATGATGAGATCCTCAGCCATCTTGCTGAGGTGGATCATCAGCAGGGTGGCAACAGACAGGAATTCCACTGCGGGGAAGATGGGAAGTTAGGAGGGGGAA